GTATAGATAATCCTTCCACTAAGCAAGTTTCTAGGAAAGATTAGAGGAGTCACAATGGTCTCATTTAAAACCCAATCTCCTAGCCAAAACTTCTTAGGTCATATCTATCTATCGTACTGTCTTTTCGTATATACAACCATTTGCTAGCTTTCGACTTTTCTTTACAAGTGATTTGGGGTATCCTGGTTTTATACTTGATTTCTCAACATCTGGCGAGACTACCAATGCTTAGATTCGTCAAGATTGGTCTTCATCAAATTTCACTCTCCACCTCAAATTTTCACATGATCGGGTGTTCAGAGTATCCCAATTTTGCCTTTCCTCAAAGTAATTAAAATTTCCCATATAACAGGTCAACACATATAATTGGACAAACATATGTGATTTCTTCTTCTTCATCTTCATCGACCACCATGATGACTATCAGATGCCTCCTAATCGGGCAATCTCTCTTTAATAATTCACCATCACTAATTTTTAGTCTCAATCTCAATGATCAGACCATACCATTACATCTGGAACGATTAAATTAGTTGAAAACAAGTCTGAAATCATCCAAATCGCACTTCAGACTACTAAGATTTGATCAAAACAATTCTGGCATGATAAATGGCCTAGATTCAATCTCAGAACCGGTTGCACGTAGACTCCGCCACAGAATCCTGTCCCTCGTCTCACGGCTCGACTCAGCTCCAACTCGGCTCGGCTCATTCTTGGCTCGTGTCGGGTGACTTGCCAATGGGTCCTACAGTGCTATCGTGGCTACTGACATGTCATGCCACCTGTTCATGCTGATGAAACTGTGACGCCATGATGATGTCATCATCATCCGGATCTCTTACATGGGTCAGATCTTCTAGTATTCAGGTAGGGTCAGCCCATCCGGGCGAAGAAGATGCTTGTGACACATGGCACGCGTCTGCGTGGGTGTCCAGTCACCCTGCCGGCGCGTGTAGTGGTTTTCGACGTGGTTTTCACCAGTGACCAGTGGCTTCCTCTCTTTCTCCTCTACACAGTGCTATGGTGACACGAATAAAAGGTTGATGTCTTCTCCCAAGTGTAGGAGTGTCGAAGTAATAAATAACCCGGCAAGACCGGGGTCGAACCACAGGGAGGTTAATTGTACAAATTATAAACAACAATAATACAATAATAACAATAATAACAACAACAATAACAATA